ATTGGAAAAGACCCTGATGCTGGGAGGGATTGGGGGCAGGAGGAGGAGGGGACGACAGAGGATGAGATAGTTGGATGGCATCACCGACTCAATGGACATAGGTTTGGGTGGACTCCAGGAGTTGGTGATGGACAGGGAGGCCTGGCGTGCTGCGGTTCATAGGGTCGCAAAGAGTCAGACATGACTGAGCAACTGAACTGAACTGAACTGAGCACATGTTGATAATCACAAAATTAGACATGGAACTTTTCAAAGAAGCACAGAGGGAAGTTAAACTTTGGCCAAATTAAATAATCCTACCTTGATATACTGTCACCTCTTAATGATGAGAGTAGGCATCAGTTAAACAAAAATGACCATTTGAGGAAAATGAGAAAAGCAACATGGGCAGAGTCTCCACTAGTAAATCATCATTCTGAATACATCCGTGTATTTATGTCTTTTCTATATTTCTCCTACCATACTTTACCATAAAGACAGGAGAAGATAGGAAAAAAGCAATACCTATCACACAGTGGTAAATTATTTAATTTCCCCTGACCTAGACTTGTCTCCAGGCCAGGTGTGTGTGTGTGTGTGTGTGTGTGTGTGTGTGTGTTCCGTCGTGTCTGACTCTTGTAACCCCATGGACTGCAGCCTGCCAGGCTCCTCTGTCCATGGAATTTTCCAGGCAAGAACACTGGAGTGGGTAGCCAGTCCCTTCTCCAGCCAAGCTAGGTAGTGTGTTTCAATTTTATGTTTATTACTGCAACGAGAGAAAGAAAGTCTTTCTTGATTTTAACAATAGCGCAAACGGTTCTCCGTCCTGTCCTCTTGCCTCAACAAACCATAGAGGGATGCATCAAACCCATTTCAAATGTACTATTCCCATACAGTCCAATTTCATTAGGAAAGCCAGCGAGAATAGTGACCGTCCAAAGCAGTGGTTAAAAACCTTGACTCTATTTTTCAGGAGAACTCCCTGAGGCTGCAGGATGGTTCTTGACAACATACTGACAACACATGGGCGCATACTGAATAAAAAATGTAACAAAGTATTAATAGAATATTTTACAAAGTGCTTTAATATCCTCACCTCAGATGACCCTCATTGGTCTTATTAAACCTTCAAAGACTGAACCCAGAGAGATGGAAATTACATGCTGCTACTGCTGCTAAGTCGCTTCAGTCGTGTCCGACTCTGCAACCCCATAGACGGCAGCCCACCAGGCTCCCCCGTCCCTGGGATTCTCCAGGCAAGAACACTGGAGTGGGTTGCCAGTTCCTTCTCCAGTGCATGAAAGTGGAAAGTGAAAGTGAAGACGCTCAGTTGTGTCCAACTCGTAGCGACCCCATGGACCACAGCCTACCAGGCTCCTCTGTCCATGGGATTGTCCAGGCAAGAGTACTGGAGTGGGGTGCCATTGCCTTCTCCGGGAAATTATATGGGAAAAACCTACTGTGTTTCTTCCTCAAAATCAGAGTGTGGGGTAGGAGGGCTGGCTGTCCCCCTCCCCCGAGCGCAGTTGTTACTTGGCAGGGGCTGCCCAGCCCAGGAATCTGAACTCTCCTTAGGTGGGGCCTTGTGACCACTTCCCCCACTGGAATGTGAGCATATGAGACGTGAGTCGCTTCCAGGCTGAAATGGTAGAAAAGGCACGTGCCATCCCAACCCTTTATCCTCCCCCGCCTGCCAGATGGAGATTCTGGGGCCGCAGGAGATGGTGGAATTCCCAGATGAATGACGTCTGTGTCCTTCGATCTAAGGTCAGTCTGCAAAACACCTTCCCGGGCCTTCATATGAAGAAAAAAGCTATCTTTTATCATTTGCCTGCATGCTCAGCTGCTTCAGGCATGTCTGACTCTTTGTGACCCTGTGGACAGTAGCCTGCCAGGCTCCTCTGTCCATGGGATTCTCCAGGCAAGAATACTGGAGTGGGTTGCCATGCCTGCCTCCAGGGGATCTTCCCCACCCAGGGATCGAACCTGCGTCTCTTATGTCTCTTGCGTTGGCAGGTGGGTTCTTTACCTCTAGCACCACCTGGGAAGCCCATTATCATGTTAAGCAACTGGAATTTGGAGGTTTATCTATTATAGCAGCAAGTGTTATCCTGATTTAACTGAAATGGGGTGGAGGTGGTATCGATTAGTAAATGGAGTTTCCTAGTTGGTGGTTTATAATGGTTTGGTTTCTCTTCCTAATTCTTTGACATACCCAGTAAAGCTCACCTTCTGTTACTTAGGGCTCCAAGCTCTGGGAGAAGATACCTTCTGAGGAGGAAGTTTTTTGCCCTGGAATAACTATTATTTTTAAGAGTGACTGATCCAGAGTGGAACATGCTCAGTTTCTTGCTAGAGGCGGCTTGCTTTTAGTAGGCATATGGAAACTATTTGGATGACAATCTCGAACATAAAAGTTATCAAGGCAGCAACCTTGGCAAAATGGCTGTGCTCAGAACTGACCACAGTGCACTTACCTTTAGCATCTGTGGTCCCGTGGAGCTCAGCCCTGCCAGCAAAGCAGTTTGGGAATGCCATCCTGCAGAAAGGAAGTACAAGAAACAAGCTTTGAGCTTGTGGGGTTTATAAGCCACAGCCTGTGGGCTTGCGGGGATTTTCACTCATGCTTTCACTTGATTTCTTAAACTTTGGCTTCTTTTCTTCCCCCTTTCCACTCTCCCAACAGTAAAACCCCATTAAATCAACCCAAGTTGGACTTTCTCATTGTCTTTAGTGATTTGTTTGTTCCCCAATTTGTCATAACAGGGTAAACTGTTCAACTTTTGTACATGAAAAGCTCAAACAGTAAGTTCATAATTGTTTTCACAGAATTTATGAGACTTTCTCTAGGGAGCTATTTTCAAAATAAAATAAGTGCTATGAATGGAATAGGAAATATTACAGTAATTATGTTGGTTTCCCAGGAAAACTTAGAACTTAATAGTGGCAGGGTAACTTGGGGACTAGCAGATGCTGTGTCTATCCTTCAAAATATATCTGTATCTCAGTGTCTCTGAATCCAGATATAATGCTCATTTCAGGCAAGCAGTTGGCTTGGTGGGAAGCGCAGTCATGAATTTCTAGAGGACGACTGTTGTTTTAGGGCCTCTCATTGAGGAGAGGAGGGTTTTCAAGCTCCGGGGACCTGGAACTATATGTGTGTGTTAGGGTAGAGTGGAATTATGTCAGCCTAGAGTCCTAGTGCAGAGGGGGGACATAGGGAGGATTTGGGGGACAGATGGATTGGGAGTTTGGAATTAGTAGATGCAAACTATCATATATAGAAATAGATAAACAACAAGGTTCTGCTATATATAGCACAGGGAACTGTGTTCAATACCCTGTGATAAACCATAATGGAAAAGGATATGAAAAAGAATGTATACATATGGATAACTGAATCACTTTGCCACGCAGCAGAAATTAACACAACACTGTAAATCAACTATACTTCAAAAAATAAATTTGAAAAAAATGTAAAAAAAAAAAAAAAGAGTTCTAAAATGCTCCCGGACATGTACTGAGCCCACAGACTAGCCCTCATCATCCCTGAGACAGGGGCTGGTGGCCCACCCTGCATCTTTCTTCTCCTTACCTACAGCAGCAACTGAATCACCAGGGGGTATTAATTTTTCAATGCACATTGCTGATTTTTTTTTTTCCTTTCATGGTGCATGGGCTCAGTTGTTCCATGGTATGTGAGATCTTCTCAGACCAGGGATCGAACCCATGTGTCCTGCAGTGGCAGGCAGATTCCTAACCACTGGACCACCAGGGAAGACCACCAACTGCACATTTCTAGGCCCAACCCCAGTAATTATTTTTCCATTAGGTTTGGAGCAGAAAGGCAGATAGTCAGTGGGCCAGTTTTCTGACTTCTATGGGAATCATTTCTTAGCGTCTTCTTTTATTTATTTATTTTTTATCACTGAAGCACATAGGGCTGTTTTTTTTAAGAGGGCTTCCCAGGTGGCGCGAGTGGTAAAGAACCCACCTGCAAATGCAGGAGACCCAAGAGACTTGGGTTCAGTCCCTGGGTCAGAAAGATCCCCTGGAGAAGGGCATGGCAACCCACTCCAGTATTCTTGCCTGGAGAATTCCATGGACAGAGGAGCCTGGCAGGCCACAGTCCACAGCGTCATAAGGAGTCAGACACAACTGAAGTGACTTGGCATGCACAGTATCTTAAAACCTTTACATAAATAGAATAATACACATATGTTTTGCATCTGGCTCAAATGCTGCATACAGTGTTTGTGGCATTACAGGGTGCAACCATAGTTTGTTCATTTACACTGGCATTGTACAATCACACCACTGTCTATTCATTCTTTTATATTTGAATAGTATGTATTCTACATTAGGCTTGTTTTTTAGCTTTTTGGCTATTGTGAAAAGTGCTGCTATGAACTACTTGTACATATCTCTTGGTGCACATGTGACAACACTTTTCAGCTGGATATATATTTAAAATTGCTAAGTCCTAGGATATCTATACCATCAACTTTAGGAAACAAGATCAAACTCTTTTCCTCAAGAAAACAATTCAATGCATATACCCACCAGATGTACATGAGAGACCTCATTGTTTTATACTTTCACCAGCACTTTGTATTAATCATCTTTTTAATTTTAACCATTCTGGACGTTTACATGAGTAAGCTCATTGCGGGTTTAATTTGTAGGTCCTGATTATTAATGTGGTTAAGGAACTTTTGATACATTTTATTGATCACATGGATATCTTGGTTTATGAATTTCATTTCAAAGTCTCTTTCTTATTTTTCTAGTAGGTTGTCTTTTTCGTATTAATTTGTGTTTTTCTTTTTAAAATATTTTTATTTATTTATTTAGCTGTGCCAGGTCTTCATTGCGGCTTGCAAACTGTTGATTGCAGCATGTGAACTCTTAGTTGCAGACTGTGGCCCTGACCAGGGATCAAACCCAGACACCCAGCACTGAGAGCATGGAGTCTTAGTCCCTGAGCCACCAGGGAAGTCCCCAGGGGTTTTTTGTATTTTGTTTTTTTTTTAAATATGTATCGTAGTAATGAGCCCTTGGTCAGTCACTGAGTTGAGAAACTCACCTTCCTAACTGTAGCTCAGCTTTCATACTTTTAAGGGTGTATTTTGTTAAACAGAGCTACTTTAGGCTGGTCTCATTTACTTCCTTGTTTCTTTGTGGTTAGGACTTTTTATGTCCTGTTTGGGAAATCTTTGCCAACCTCAAGATCATCAAGATATTCCTTGTGTCATTATCTAATGGGTTTTTGCTATTGTGCCTTGCACACTTTGGCCTCTAATTCATCTGGAAGGAATCTACCTGGAACTGCAAACATGACCTTTCTCCACTGTTCTGCCACCTTTTACATAAATCAGAGCCCATGTATGCAAGGTTCTGTTTCTGGGCCCTTTTTTCTGTTCCAGTCATCTCTTGGCTATCTTGGTGCCACAGTGCCGTTCTGCCTTAATCACTGAGGCTTTATGCTAAGTTTTGTCATCTGTAGAGCAAACATTCTGACTTTGTTCTTTTTAAGAGTGTCCTGACTGTTTCCTGGCCTTGAACCATCTTGTCAAGTTCCACAAAAACATCTGTTGGTATTGTATAGAATCTGTAAATCAATTTGGGGAGAAGTAATATTTTTATAATATTCAGTCTTCCAATCCATGAACATGGTTCACCTCTCTATTGACTTAGATCTTTATATTCTCTCACTAAGGTCTTATAGTTTTCTGTTTGGAGATCTTACATATCTTTGACTATCTTTATTCTAAAATCTTGACTATTTTAGCAAAGTGTCATTTTAAAAAAATTTCATTTGAAAACTTACCGGTAAGCACTAATTTTGTTTTATAGTTCCTGTTTTTAACATTCACGAAAATTTTGTATTGTGCTCTTTCCTTTATTTAAACATTTTCACTTTATTATAAACATGTTTCTGATCTCCGTTCTACCTGTGTTACAGGCATACCTTGTTTTATTGCACTTGACTTTATTGCACTTTGCAGACACTGTGTATTTTACAAATTCAAAGTGTGTGGCAAGCCTGTGTTGTTAGATGATGGTTACATTTTAATTTTTTAGCAACCAAATATTTTTTAATTAAGGCATGAACATTGTTTTTTAGACATAATGTTATTGCCCACCTACCAGGCTACAGTATAGTATATGTATAACTTTTTACGTACTAGGAAACCAAAAAACTTGTGTGACTTGCTTTACTGGGATACCCACTTTATTAGACCAAACCCCCAGTATCTCCAAGGTCTACCTGTACTTTCCTGTTTATGCTGTAACGAACAAATGCTCCCTATTTGTCCTGTGGCTTTTTAGTAAGTCTTGGGCACAGTGCCTCTTTATTTCAGAAGCATGATCCAACATGACGATGCTTTTTCACTCAGGGATTTGTCTCTATTAGTACTAATGCAGAAAGGAAAATCACTGCTTTTCAAATAATTTGGGATTCTGCTGAAAGGCCCAGTCAGGGCTCTCACAGTTTTCATCTCTTCTGGGTTTGTATACCTCAGAGAGTCCAAAGTTGAGATGGGGAGGCAAGTATTGCCTTGAAGATTCCCCCAGGTGGCCCAGAGATGCCTCAAAATTCACAGAATTAGCAAAGGGGTTTCCAAAGTTAATTGAGGTGCCAACAAACTTGCTGCTGCTGAGTCGCTTCAGTCATGTCTGACTCTGTGTGACCCAATAGACAGCAGCCCACCAGGTTCCCCCATCCCTGGGATTCTCCAGGCAAGAACACTGGAGTGTGTTGCCATTTCCTTCTCCAATGCAGGAAAGTGAAAAGGAAAGTGAAGTCGCTCAGTTGTGTCCGACTCTTAGCGACCCCATAGACAGCAGCCCACCAGGCTCCTCCGTCCATGGGATTTTCCAGGCAAGAGCACTGGAGTGGGGTGCCACTGCCTTCTCCAAACAAACTTGAGAGCTATTGAAAATGCAGACTGTGTAGTTCATTGGAATACACCAGACAAGGTATCCAATTGGAAAGTACCCCTGAGACATTTCAGCTTTAAGTGTTGTTTGGACAGTTTGGGAAGCCCTGGAAGGCAAAATCACTAATATTTATTAGGGTTAGTCACTCAGGCGTGTCTGACTCCGTGCAGCCCTGTAGACTGCAGCCCCACCAGGCTCCTCTGTCCATGGGATTTCCCAGGCAAGAACATTGGAGTGGGTAGCATTCCCTGCTCCAGGCGATCTTCCTGACCCAGGGATCAAACCTGCATCTCTTTCGTCTCCTGCGTTGGCAGGTGGGTTCTTTACCTCTTGTGCCACCTGGGAAGCCCATCTTAACCAAATAGTCACATTTTACCTTGTCAAGAGTAAAGGCAGATGTGCATCAATTTTAGAAGGACTAAACAGAATAACACTCATAGTTTCAGCTGATAACTGATATTTAGCTCTTCTTCCTGGGTCAGGAAGATTTCCCTGCAGAAGGAAATGGCAACCCACTCCAGTATTCTTGCCTGGGAAATCCCATCAACAGAGGAGCTTTGCAGGCTACAGTCCATGGAGTTGCAAAGAGTCGGACATGGACTGAAGCAACTTCACATGCACGCCCCCTGACATTTACCGAGGAAAATTTACAGAGTGGAAGTCCAGGAAGTGTTTCGGGGTTGACAACACCCTCCTCCTTCTAGTATCCTTCTCATCTAGCCAGAGAGACATAGCCAGGGGCAAATCACAAGGCAATCTTACTTGCGATGGCCAGGCCAGGGCTGTCCTGCTTTGAGCCAGCCGCCTGTGGACTCGTCCAGCCGCTTTTTCCTGTAACTGCCCGTGTACGTTGTCACCGACAAATCTGACCACCTCACTTCATCCTGCCAAGATGCTGCAGCCTTCCGTCTGATCACGTCAAACTCTTGAGAAGTGAGAGGGCTGAAAGGCAGAAGAATCTGTGGTGTCAAGTAGAAGAAGTGTGACATGGCCCACTTTGAAGGACAGCTTTTCGAGCCCTCTCTGTCATGCAGAATTAATTTCCTTTTTGTAGTGGGAAATAATCAACCCAGCCCAGCAAACTCTGTGACTCCGCCGGCTCAGAGAATACAGAAGCTGAACTCAAAGTTGCCAAGCAACAGGTCCCACAATTCCACAAGTTCTACTTCCCACTTCCCTCCAACTTTAACAAGCAAATTTAGAACTTTCTGGCTTTTGCTTTAAGTGATACGCAGCAACGAATCCTGGAAAGAAAGCAGGTGGCCTCTGCTTTTATAAATAAGTGAGTCCTACTCATGATGGTTTAAGACGTGGAGCAAGAGGACAGTGCCAAGCATTCATTTCTCCCAAAGACTGACCTTCAAGGGTCTGGAGGCAAATGTGTCCTGTTTGTGATGTCAACAATAGCAGGTGACGCGAGCGGCTTCTCGTGTGTCATAGAGCAATGGGACTGAAGCTGGTGGCCCTCTGGAGTCGCCCCAGGGGCTGGTAAAATAAGACCCCACCCCCAGCCATAGATTCTGATTTAATTGGTCTGCAGTAGGGCCTTGACTTGGCTCATTTTCATTTTATATTTTAAACTTTTTATTTTGTATCAGGGTATAGCAGATTAACAATGTTGTGGTGGTTTCAGGTGAACAGCAAAGGTAATTTTTAAAAGCTCACTCCTGGAAGCTTCTAGAGAGCAGCTGGGGTTAAGAATTAAGGTCACTGAAATGCCACTGTGAACCTTTTTTAGAATGAGAAGTCATAGCATCCTATCTTCTGTTCAGCTGATTCCCTGCGTCCTTCACTAATAATTACTCTAAAGCTGGTTAGTACACCTGCCTCTCCTTCTCTGCACAAACAATTCACTGGCAAATCGAAATAGATCTTTCCACATGTGTCCTTGCTCTTAGAACTTCTTGGAGCAGAAATTCTCAGCCCTCTGCGCTCATTCACATGACCTGTGGGATGCTTTATAGAAACAGGGGTCCTGCCTCACCTTGATAGGCACATCATCAGTCTTAAAGAAAGAGTCTCCATAGGTGGCTGGATCAGCACCCATTGGGCGCCTTAAACATGCAGAGGCTCACCTGCCCCGCACAGACTATAGGAATAAAGCCCTGGAATCATCATATTGGGTTGGCCAAAAAGGTCATTCAGGTTTTCCTTACCAATTTATGGAATAGTCCAAATGAACTTTTGGCCAGTCCAGTATTTCTGTGGTTACATGAGGGTGTGGCTGTTGACTTTAAATGCTGGAAAGACTGCTCCAAGAGCTGAATCTCAACAGTCTTTTAAAGTGAGGCTGACATGCCACAAGGTATGCTTCTTTGAGGGTAAAAGTATTGCAGACACTTGTTAGTATGTCAAAGTAGGAGTATCTTTCTTTAAAAATTTGAAACTTGGAACATGAGCATCTTTGCTATAGAAGGATTAGGCACATGGTCGCAGAGCATGCTGCTTTTTCTCGGGGAGTTGAAGGTTTCTTGGAGAAACCCAGATGAAACACGAGGAAGATGGAGATAGAGGGAAGGAGGGAAGCGGAAACCAGGCTACCCAATGCTTTTCCCACCCAGTGTCACGTAGCAACTGCTTTGATGCTTAAACCTTTAGCCATTCTAGTAAAAATTGTGGTTTGGAAGCCTCTGCTAGCATTTACTCATCAATTGAAAGTCCTCTAAAAATAGAACTATTGGGAAACTGTGGGATGTGAGGTGGAAAAGAAAAGCTCCCTCAGTTTTTTTGGAGGGGATAACTTTAAAAATACTTAACTAGCTAAGTTTACTTGGTGAAGTTAAGATTTAAACTTGTTGATTTTTAAATTGCTATTACATCTGAAATAAACTTATGTGATGTTCTGGTTAAAAAAAAAAACAAACTCTGCTAGTTAAATATTTTTTGAGGCAGGAAAATAAATAGAACAGATTGTGAAACATTATTTGTAGAAAACATTAAAAAAATTTCCCCTTAGACTGTGTGGTTGTCTATAAACAAATGTATGATAACATAAACTCTTCAACAAATGATTATAGCATAAATATAACTTATGATCACATTCCTGTCCTTTATTTTTATTTATTTCTTTTTTCTCCCCAAATCAATTATGATATCATTTTAACAATTAAAACCTTGAGTAGTGAAACTTAACAATTTAAGTGAAAAGGTCTAATATCAGTTTTGATTGTAGCTTGGTTCATCAGTCTATTAGACGTTGGCTAAGTCGGCTAAAAATCAGTTGGACTTGAAATTAGAGGATAAATAGAATGGACTAATTGAGTTTATTATCACAAGTATTTAGTCTATAAAACCCTAGAATTCTTTGTTCCCATTGTATCAGATGCATGTATCAGAACTTTTCCTGGACACTGGTATTCAGTACTGATTTGTATCATTTGACTTCCATGTTGATGGTCTGCGTGAAAAACTTCATTTTGTGACTAAATTATGGCAAGCTATGTTGTTCAGTCCCTGGTTTGTTAAATGTGAAAAGACATAATTAAGTGCACTGTGACAATGAACTCTGGATTTTGAGTGCAATTTAGTGAAAATAGAAGCTTCCTGAGTGAGTGACCTCATACCGCATATAACCAGCAGGTGGCGCCCGTGTCACCTGATGTAGGGATGGGGTATTAATCGGCAGGTCTTAACCAGGCTTTTTCTTAAAAGGCTGATTATTTTAATGAGCTGTTAATAGGTATTAATTAGGAGTTTCATGATTAAGTTAGTTTAGAACAAGTTGGGATAAACATGATTCTTTGCTGCAGAACTTTAGGGCCTTTAACATTTCCATGTGCCTTGTGAAACTTTCAAAGTGGGCAGCTTTTCTAAATTTCAGTCGCTCAGTCGTGTCCGACTCTTTGCGACCCCATGAATCACAGCACGCCAGGCCTCCCTGTCCATCACCAACTCCCGGAGTTTACTCAAACCCATGTCCATCGAGTCGGTGATGCCATCCAGCCATCTCATCCTCTGTCGTCCCCTCCTCCTCCTGCCCTCAATCCCTCCCAGCATCAGGGTCTTTTCCAATGAGTCAACTCTTCCATGAGGTGGCCAAAGTATTGGAGTTTCAGCTTCAACATCAGTCCTTCCAATGGACACCCAGGACTGATCTCCTTTAGGATGGACTGGCTGGATCTCCTTNTGCATACAGGTTTCTCAAGAGGCAGGTCAGGTGGTCTGGTATTCCCATCTCTTTCAGAATTTTCCACAGTTTATTGTGATCCACAGTCGAAGGCTTTGGCATAGTCAATAAAGCAGAAATAGATGTTTTTCTGGAACTCTCTTGCTTTTTCGATGATCCAGTGGATATTGGCAATTTGATCTCTGGTTCCTCTGCCTTTTCTAAAACCAGCTTGTACATCTAGAAGTTCTTGGTTCACATACTGCTGAAGCCTGGCTTGGAGAATTTTGAGTATTGCCTTGCTAGCGTGTGAAATGAGCACAATTGTATGGTAGTTTGATAGAAATCAAAATGGAAGTGACCTATGTGTGTGCTCATACAGTAGTTTGCATGGAGTTCAACAAACACACACAGGTCACTATTTGATTTTCATCACACAGACTAGATATGTCAGGCAGAAACTTACTGATGAAACCCATATGATTCCAAAATGAATCCCAGGAAGAAACCAAGTAATGCAAGGCCCAAACCCAGCAGGATTCTCTTGGGAAAAAAGACCCATATGAAGCTTGAGCTTCCATCTCAACAAGAATCTGTCTCCTGCTCATAAGGTGCCAAATTCTGATATTTGGATAAACACTGCCAGCAGCTGACTGAGCATATGGAATGCGTTATAGTTAATAACTGTTTGAGTGTGTCAGTTACAATAATATTAATTTTCAATCCTTGATCTTGTAATAATTTCTTCAAACTTACCACTGTGTGATTTGGAAATTTTAGTAACTCCTCAAAAACTGTGTGGTAGGTGGTCTACAAGACATAGAAAACAAGGAGCTAGTTGCAACCAGAATTGGATGGAAACAAAAGAGGGTAAAATACAAAAAAACAGGAAACAGAAATCGATAAAATTAGTGAAGAGAAGCCTAAGGAAGGATCTTTTTCTTTTCTTTCCTGAAATTTATTGGTTATGTTTACCATTTGAAAACTGAAATTGACTACAATGTGTAGATACTATGATCCAAATTTTGTTTAATAAAAAGTATATGTATGTATAAGAAAAGGCCTAGTGGGCTATATACACAAATGTTAATACTTATCACAGCTGAGTAGCAGGATCACATATGATTTTATATTTTACATTCCTTTCTTTATTTTCTAAATGTTTTGCAATGAATATATGTAACTCACACAGTCAACATGTTATACTACAAAAATGAAGGCAAATGGAACACATCCATATATAATAAATCTCTCTAATCCTAAAAACGGTCTCTTTTGAATTTACATTTATTTTTCTCTTCCATTTTGTGCGTGTGTGTGTATGTATATGTGTGTGTGTGTATACTGGTGGGGGAAGAGGGAATAGGGAAGTAGAAAAAGATCAGGTATATAATGGACCCCAAGCAATTATCCTTCAATTAAAAATAAATCAACATTTTTTTAAAAGAAGGGATTGATCCTAGTGGCTTAGTTGCTAAATGCTTGAAGACAAATAAAAGGTGATAAACTCCTCACAGCTTTAACCAACTGGACTCCTATATGGATATCGCAATGGGAGTAGGTGGAAGGCACAAAATATGGTTAAATCATCAGTCAATGCATGTTTGTTGGTGAGCAAAGACCAGAAGAGGAATCCTCTTAAGATTTAACTGACCCTTCATTCTCTCTTTGTTCACTGAGGCGGGGTTATTTGCCTATGCTGTTGGCTTAGTCAAATGGGAATCTAAGTTCTACTCCCTTTTTCCTGTTAGTTGCACTGTGTGCTGATTTGGGGGCCACAGGTTTAGGGATTTGCACAAGGCCTGGGAAAAGGCCACCCTGGAACCATCAAGGTTGATACTTCATCCTACCTCCTTTGTATACAATGTGACAATAACAGGTTTATAATGTGCACAGGTATTTACAGGGCTCTATTAGCAATTCTGAGGTTATGTTTTGAACCAAGAGACACTCAATAGCATTTTGTGCTACAGAATTTTGAGTATTCCAATAGACGCAATGTTAGGGTGCTCTGGGGAATTGGACTAATTCAATGTATTCCTGCCCTTTGATGTACCAGTCTTTGTGAGGACTGTTCACTATGTAGCTTTGTCTCTGTGGCTATGTATGAGCTTTATTCAAAATTTGTTCACTCATCCACTCATTGAATAAACATTTATTGTGAACCTACTCTGGGCCATTGAGCAACACCACCTACTATTTTGCACTGTATCGCCTATCTCCTACAAACACAGTGATATATGTTATACCAGCGGCATTTTTCCTGTCACCCTGATTAGGATTTTTTCGCTAATGAAGACCTATTTAAGTAGAGAACTGTGTTAAAAGGCAACAAACACCATGCAAACTTAATGGGGCACACTTTCTAAATATCGGGAAGTAGGCAAACCACGTACAGTGAAGTCACTTTTGTTGTTGTTCTAAGATGTTCTGTTTCTCCAACAGATTATTTGAGAAAAATTAGTTTGAGTTAAATGTTCATATTGCAAATATTGGGTTGGCCAAAAGTTTCATTCAGGTTTTTCCATAAGACAGTATGAAAAAATCCAAAGAAAGGTTAAATCATCAGTCAATGCATGTTTGTTGGTGAGCAAAGACCAGAAGAGGAATCCTCTTAAGATTTAACTGACCCTTCATTCTCTCTTTGTTCACTGAGGCGGGGTTATTTGCCTATGCTGTTGGCTTAGTCAAATGGGAATCTAAGTTCTACTCCCTTTTTCCTGTTAGTTGCACTGTGTGCTGATTTGGGGGCCACAGGTTTAGGGATTTGCACAAGGCCTGGGAAAAGGCCACCCTGGAACCATCAAGGTTGATACTTCATCCTACCTCCTTTGTATACAATGTGACAATAACAGGTTTATAATGTGCACAGGTATTTACAGGGCTCTATTAGCAATTCTGAGGTTATGTTTTGAACCAAGAGACACTCAATAGCATTTTGTGCTACAGAATTTTGAGTATTCCAATAGACGCAATGTTAGGGTGCTCTGGGGAATTGGACTAATTCAATGTATTCCTGCCCTTTGATGTACCAGTCTTTGTGAGGACTGTTCACTATGTAGCTTTGTCTCTGTGGCTATGTATGAGCTTTATTCAAAATTTGTTCACTCATCCACTCATTGAATAAACATTTATTGTGAACCTACTCTGGGCCATTGAGCAACACCACCTACTATTTTGCACTGTATCGCCTATCTCCTACAAACACAGTGATATATGTTATACCAGCGGCATTTTTCCTGTCACCCTGATTAGGATTTTTTCGCTAATGAAGACCTATTTAAGTAGAGAACTGTGTTAAAAGGCAACAAACACCATGCAAACTTAATGGGGCACACTTTCTAAATATCGGGAAGTAGGCAAACCACGTACAGTGAAGTCACTTTTGTTGTTGTTCTAAGATGTTCTGTTTCTCCAACAGATTATTTGAGAAAAATTAGTTTGAGTTAAATGTTCATATTGCAAATATTGGGTTGGCCAAAAGTTTCATTCAGGTTTTTCCATAAGACAGTATGAAAAAATCCAAAGAAGCTTTTTGGCCAATCCAAAGTCAAATGAGAGGGCTGGATGGTAGAGAAGCTTAATGCACGTGATACAGCTTTGAAAGAACCGGAGTGAGTTTAGGAGGGCAGAGCGCGGTGGTACAAGTCAGCCTTCCCGCACTCTTCGGGGTTTTCACTCTCTCTCTCGTTTCCTGGCAGGACAGCCTGGAGCAGCCGGACATTTCCCCATGGCTTTTCTGCTGCTCGTGGCCAAGTGCTTCCTGTGATCCCCACCCCTCTCACAGGAACCCCATCTCCCAGGCTTGCACCCTGTCCTTTGGGATAGTCAAAACCAGATGCCGAGTTCAACACCAAGGTATGGTAGAAACTGTGAATGTAAACAGAAGCCTGGAACCTTGACAAGAGAAATAGCAGAAGTCTCTTGTGCTCCTTTTATTTTATGGGTTTTCAAGGTACTGAGGGAAGGCAGAACTGGGAGGTCAAGACTATGTTCTTATTTGAAATGGGGGGTGGAGTGCAGTAAAATCTTTGCAGAAGTTTCCCTGTTTGAATTAGGCTCAGACAGGAATTGATGATTATATGAGTTTGCTAGGGCTGCCTTAAGAAAGTACTACAACTCAGTGGCTTAAAACAACAGAAATGGGGACTTGCCTGGTGATCCAGTGGCTAGAACTCCATGCTCGCAACGCAGGGGACCAGGTTCCATCCCTGGGCAGGGAACTAGATCCTACATGCCACAAATAAAAGATTCTGCATGCCACAAGTAAAAGAACTAGATCCTACATGCCACAAGTAAAAGATTCTGCATGCCTCAACAAGACCTGGCGTAATAAAGAAGTAGATAAGTAAATGTGTTATTTGAAAAACAAACGTAATGCCTCAGGTCTGCAGGCTATGAGTCTGAAATCAAGGTATCAGCAAGGCTCAGGCGTCTCTGAAACACAGAGGAGGATCCTTCCTTGCCTCTTCTAGCTGCTGGTGGCTTCCCGGCCATCTCCAGCATTCCCTGGCTTGTGGCTGCATCAGTCCAATCTCTGCCTGCCTCATCAGCAGCATTCACTCTGTGTGTCTTAGCCCCCGCGTGACTGTCTTCTTGTAAGGATGCCAGTCACACTGGATGGGGGCCCATCCAACTCCAATATCACCTGTCTTGGCTAATCACATCTGCAACACTGCAGGATCACACTTTATAATAGTATATCAATCACATTTATTTACATCTCACCTTATTCCAAAACAGATTAAAGTATATTCAGTAGACATGTGTTTTGTCTGCCTGGCATTCTACTTTGTTCTGCAACTAATGACTCACATGTCTTGGGAGAATGGGTCTTCCCCCAACCCCAAATGTGCATGCATGCTCAGTCGTGTCTGACTCTCTGCTGCCCCGTGGACTGTAGCCTCCTAGACTCCCCGTCCACGGGATTTCCCAGGCAAGAACACTGGAATAGGTTGCCATTTCTTCTGCCAGGGGATCCTCCCAACCCAGGAATCGAACTCGCATCTCCAGCAACTCCTGCACTGGCAGGCAGATCTAACCCCAAATAGTTCCAGTGAGTTGTAATAGCCCACACCACTGGCCATGCAGACAGACATATGACTTGTCAGGCAGACCAGTCCCGTGCTTTCTCAAGACTCTCAGAATTGAATCTCTGGAGATAGGGCAGTCCTTCCTCTGGACCTGGGTACTGCTGCTTGTCATTTCTCCAGCTAGGTGGAGGAAGCTAGAGAATGGTCTCAAAACACAGAGAAGAAGAGATGGAGAATCCTAGTATCACTCGTGGCCCTGAAGCTCGCTGTACCCCTGTTTCTCTCTCTGAATGATTAGATGAGCCAATAAGCTCCTCTTTTTGCCCAAGCTAATAGGTTTCTGTCATTTCTAGACAAGAGTGCTGGCTCATACAGAAGCTGGTATTAAATTTTGGGAGGCTTGGTTTTTAATGTCTACAATATTATCTTCAACCATAAGCAGAAAAATCAACTGGAAAAGAAATACCGTGAGGCACCATTCTCCAAAAGAGTTAAATATAAGATACTCGGTTACAGCGAAGAAAGGTCTTAAAGATAACATACTAAGCAGGATCTTACCATCTGAATTATGTACGAATCTCTTACTCATTCTATACAGCAGAAGCATCCATGAATAAAGATAATATCTGAACCATCTTACAGAAAGTATGAAATGAGGTTCATAAAATACTTTGAGCAACTGGAAAACAGTATTTTAAAAATCTAATGTAGATAATATATCACATTTAGGGATAGTGAATTTAGATAAAGTTCTTAATGTTCCTATTGCTCTATTTATTTTTCTGTAAAACGGGGCCATGATACCTTTAAAGAGTTGCTGACAGTATTAGCAATCATACACAGTAAGTCCCCTACATGTGAACCTTCAAGTTACAAGCTTTCAAAGACGTGAACATGCACCCGGTTCCAACGAGGAACCAGAACCTGTGCCGTCCGCATGAGGCCTGGGTGCAACCGGAGCGTGCCTTTCATCTGCTACTGCCGGCAATCCTCAGCTCTGCCATCTCCCACGTCTTCTCCCTCCTCCACTTAGAGTAATTCTTCTTGCCTGTTCACTCGAGGCCAGCCAATGTACACCAGCTGTTGTTCTGTACTACGTACTTTTCTAGGTTCTGTACTGTAGGATTTAAAAGGGTTTTATTTTTTTGTTTGTTTTTGTTTATGTATTATTTGTGTAAAAAGTATTATAAACCTATTTCAGTACAGTGCTATGTAGGTGATTGTTAGTTGGGAACCTAGGCTAACTTTGTTGGACTTAGGAATGAACTGAGACTTACAGATGTGCTCTTGAATTCCCTCGAACATAGGGGACATACTGTATATGTGAACCTGGGCGATACGATTCAACCGAAAGTGATACTTCCAGACAAGGAGAGATTGCCAGCTACCCACCATCCTTGCAGGAGCTGATAGACATTTTGAAAAGGGGGCTGGTGTGGAGGAAGTTTTCTGCAGAGATTGTGGGCTTGTGTGCTGGGGAAGAGACAGGAGAGGTAAGGTCAGTGAGAGTTGCTATGGTAGTTGGTCCCCACCCCAGCCTGGAGGACCAGTCTCCGTGAGAGGAGAGGCAAGGATTCTATGCCCTGGGAACAGCACTATCTTGGCAACTTACAAGCTTCACAGTTCAGGAACATTTAAGCAGGCAGCATTCTCCTGCAGGAGGAGCCCCAGCTGAAATAGTGGAGCCCAACAGAAGCCTGTGGGAGTAAGCTGCACCTGAGAGCTGAGCTTGNATTCTCCTGCAGGAGGAGCCCCAGCTGAAATAGTGGAGCCCAACAGAAGCCTGTGGGAGTAAGCTGCACCTGAGAGCTGAGCTTGTTTGTGAATCAGTGAGGAATCCCTAGGACTTGCAAAATACTTGAGGGGACTGTGGTCCTGCCTGATGTGATGGAATCCTGAGTCATCAAAATTCAGGTGTAAAAGCAACTTTACTCATAAGAAGAGGGTGTCCATCCTGGGTTTGATATGTAAAATTTGACACTGAAGTATGGGCTTCCCCTGGTGGCTCAGATAGTAAAGAATCTGTCTGCAATGCAGAAGTCCCAGGTTCGATCCCTGGGTCAGGAAGATCCCCGGGAGAAGAGAATGGCAGCCCACTCCAGTATTCCTGCCTGGAGAATCCCATGGACAGAGGAGTCTGGTGGACTGCAGTCCATGGGGTCGCAAAGAGTCAGACATGACTGAGCGACTAACACTTTCGCTTTTCGTGAGCCTTACTTATAGTAAATGGCTTTACTGTCATCCTAAGACATCCCTTTGTGGAATTCTCACCACAACTCAGATTGGCCAGGGCCAGGGCCTGTACTCAGATGGTACAGGGCTTTGAGGACAAGGCTGCATGACTGCATGACTGCCTCTGTGTTAGATAACAGCGGCATTAATTGAGATGTAGCATTTGGACTTGCTGAGAGTGGAAAAGCTTACTGACTTAGATGTGTCCACACCTCATTCTGTCAAGAAGTTGAGGTGCCTCAGCAAAGTTAATAACCTCCAGGTTACCTCTATGCATCAAACTTTCAGGTAAATAAATATTCATGTACTTTGACTCACAATAGGATCATCTACATTTTACATGATGAAGGTGAATTTTTTCTTGGAAAAAAGAAAAGCATCCAATATTATAAAACTGCTTTTGTGCCATTCCAATTCTCTATTACCAAACATGCCCCTGATGACCCCAAAAAGTGAACTTCTAAAAATGTCACAGGGCAGAATTATCAACATATATTCATGTCACATGGGTATTAAATTTAGTAACCAAAATACTACAATGAAGGAAAGAAAACCAAATAGTCTACAGTTTCATTCTGATGGTTCTTTTTCAAGGAAAATTCCCACTTGTTCATCATTGTCTGTCTTACCTGAATAACGATGGTGACATTTAGTGAGTATTCTAACACATTATATGAGTCACGCTATAACCCCAAGATGTATCCCTAGATAAGACTTAGACTTTATAAAGAGTTTCAGAAAGTCTGACTTGGGAAGCGTTTGTGTTTATGAAGCCTCATGTGGATTTCTCAAGTTCCAGGGGCAGCTGGGCTCCACCGTCTGCATGGATCAGTCATCTTTGCTTCTCAAAGTCCTTGCAGTTGACCATTCTTGGCAGTAGCATTGTGACTCCTACGATGGCAATCTACTGGGTGAGTACATCAGAACTGTTCTCACTGATTCTTCCTGTTATTTTCTGCGTTAAAGACTGAATTACGTAAACATTACGTAAACAAGCTCACTGTTCATGAGCTTTTGTCTCCAGCGTATACTGGGTAATAGTGACAACGGCTTAGGAAAAGAGGTAAACAGCCAGCCTAGTGATTATGGAGAAAATTTCCTGCTAGGTTGTATTGTGGCAGCCACTGTTAACTATGGCTATGCCTCTACAAGAAAGTCCAGACATTTTAATGAAATTTGGTATCATTTTAGCAAAATGTCTGTCAATTTTGGAGCTCAGTTTGAAACACAGCACATTTTTACTCATCTACAGAAATTAATGATAATTTTGCTTTTGACAAAAGTGAAGTCAGGTTTGTTATTTTTTTTTCCAGAAAAGAATTATCCATTTGAGATAGAGAGAGATGAGCTCATTTAATTCTCATAACCCTAACAGGCAGCAACTCTCTATTGTTAAATATTTATCTAGCACTTATTATATCCAGGTACTGTATGTATATTAACTAACACAGTCCTTTCTCTTTTTTAATAGTTATTCATCTGGCACATCGGGTCTTCATTGCTGCATATGCAAACTCTTAATTGTGGCATGAGAGATCTAGTTCCCTGACCAGGGATCAAACCTGAGCCCCCTGCATTGGGAGTGCAGTGTCTCAGCCATTGAACCACCAGGGAAGTTGCAAGACAGTCCTTTCAACAACTCCGGGTGAATACTATTATCAATCCCATTCATTAACTGAGGCACAGTGAGATTAAGTAGTTTGGCCAAACTAACATTAGATGATGTGAATCTGTTTTGTAAAACAGAGGGTCAACTGTAACATCTCTAACAACACCTACCAATTACTGGGGGCTTCCCAGGTGGTGCTAATGGTAAAGAACTCACCTGCCAATGCAGGAGACTTAAGAGACAAGGGTTCAATCCCTGGGTCAAGAGGATCCCCTGGAGGAGGGCACGGTAACCCACTCCAGCATTCCTGCCTAGAGAATCCTATGGACAGAGGAGCCTGGCGACTACAGTCCATAGGATCGGACAGGACTGAAACGATCCAGCATGCAGCACACACTAATTACTGAGTGCCAAGCAATTTAAGTATAATATCTCATTTGAATTATTCCAGCCACTCTATAAAGTAGCTATGCATGTGTCTGCTCAGTCACGCCTGACTCTTTGTGACCCCACCGACTGTAGCCCACCAGGCTCCTCTATCCATTGGGATTTTCCAGGCAAGAATGCTGGAGTGGGTTGCCATTTCCTCCTCCAGGGGATCTTCCAGACCCAGGGATCAAACAGGTGTCTCCTGTGTCTCTTGCATTGGCAGGCGGATTCTTTACCACCAAGTCACCTAAGCTCATAAACTAGCTATTCTTGCCCTGATTTTACAGATGAGGAGGTTGGTGCGTACAGAGGAGTAATAACTTGCCTCCAATCATATAGCTGGTTAGTGACAGAGCTGAGACTTCACTCTGGGTATCTAAGTCAAAACCTCTGTTTTTGACCAGGTCAGGGGTCCAGCATGCTAAAATCAGAGGTGAGGAGGAGTGATGGCATTTAATAAAAGGGAACGTGAATTCTTTTTAAAGGTCACAAATATTTTACTGTATCATACGGTATATATATACTTTACTATATTATACAGCTTCTAGTATAGCAAATAACAGAAACGTGAACCTTGGAAATTGGTCTCTGTATCATGGCCAATTGTATAAAAACCACCCAAGAAACACAGGGAAGGTCTTCCAATGCTTTTTATGGCTGTATATATAACATATAAAGGCAGTTCAAGCTGAGAAATAAAGGCATAGGAAAATTTAGGGCTAACAAATGCCAGCCTTTCTCTGTCTTGTTAGTAACAGTGTGTCTGTGCCCTGGTGCTGCTTCCACAGGACTATGAGTGGCAGGGTTGCTATTCCCTGTAACAGCTTACTTACTAAGGGAAATCACGGAAATCCTTCTCCGGAAGATTCTAGAAATGGTTTTTCATCTGACAGGGTGGTCTGATAAGTGGTCCTTTTTAAAGTTAGGTAAATTGACTGTGTGACCTTTTCAATTTTCTCCTAATCATAAAATATCAGGTAGGTATGCCAATAACACTAACCTTAAGAAAAAAAAAAAAAGTAAAACAATGTTTGCTAAAATAGTAATAATGGAGAAATTTTATGGCTAGAAATAATTTTACTTAAATGTACACAGTCATAACTACCATCAAATACTATAAAGTATACTCAAAGAATTAACTAGAGCAGGTACTTTAAAGACTATCATAAAATATCATGAGAGTGTGATGGTAGGAATAAGACCATGGGGAAAAAACTGAACGTTTTATAAGGTCTGCACAGTTTCATGTACTGTAACTTTAACAGAATGACAATATCAAGCAGACTCTGAGCATTTCCAGTGCACCATCATGACAGTAAAATGACTTTCCTATTAGCTCATTTGTCCTCACCAACCCTATGAAGTTACCATGTCAGTTCCGTTTGGTGTGTTAGTTGCTCAGTCGTGTCTGACTCTGCCACTTCACGGACCACAGCACACCAGGCTCCTCTGTCCATGGAATTCTCCAGGGAAGAATTCTAACCTGGGTAGCCATTCCCTTCTCCAGGGGGTCCTCCCAACCCAGGCATCAAACTTGGATCTCCTGCATTACAGGCAGATTCTTTACCATCCGAACCACCACGTTTACCAGGGAGGAAACTCAGAATGGTAGGTGTGTATATGTATGGCTGATAGCAGAAACTAACACAACACTGTAAAGCAATTATATTCCAATAAAAATAATAATAAATAAAAAGAAAAGTAGGTTATTTGTCCAAACTGACACAGCCAGTAGGTAACTGATCTGGATCTAAACTCACCACTCCCAATACCAGAACCCAAGGTCTTAATCACTGTGCCATGCTTCTTTCAGAGGACAAAACTTGATCCTCATCATCAAGAATCAAGTAGATTTTTAAGATGCTAATATGAAGTCAAATGGCCCAGAAGGAAGAGAAGCAAAAATTCTGATAACATTCAAACTGAATAACCCTTCAATCACTTTGGCCTCACTTGGGCCTTTGCACGATGCACTTTTGACTCCTGGGGATGACTGGACCCACGTTATCTGCAGCTGATTTCTCCAGGTCCCTTGGGCTCCCCTACCTGCCAACATTAGTGTCTGCTTTTAAAAGCTTTCAACAACAGGTCCGCTGCTAGTCCTGGGGACAGGCCCCCACTGAGAACCCTCTCTTCCAGAAGAGGAATCTGTTCCCGGACTGCGGGGTGGGTCCGGAAATGCTCTACCACATTCTCCTGGATGAGGCTCCACATCCAGACCTTCTGCTGCTTCTGCCGCTTGGCGGCCAGCTCCCCACTGACGAGCATCACCTCCCGGAATTCTTTCATTTTATCCCACATTTCGGTGATACCCTCTCCACTTCGGGCAGAAATACGAATTACCTGTTGAAAAGGGAAGAACCAGAATTATTGTACTCACAATGATAGAAAACACTTTCATGGGGACTCTGGCATTTGCCAGTTAATATTTACAGTCTATGGAAAGAGGTACGTGACAAAAATAAGATATTTTATCACTGTGTCAAAGTAAATATGCTGAAAAATATACTAAGATAACTTACTAAGATTACTGAGTGCAAGGCAGAAATCAGACACGGATTCTAGGTCAAGTTTTTAGCTCAGAGGTTTATTTTGACCAAGGATTGCTTGCACGGTCTTTAAAGGTCACAGAGGTGAACAGTGGGAGGGTCTCTGGGATGAGACGGGCAATGCCACGCAGGTTTCCCTGCGGCCTGAGTGCCGTACAATGAAAGCGAGTAGAGAACACAGCACTGTCCCGTCAAACTGCCTGGTCCAGCAGGTGCTGTAAACCGAGCATCAGTGCCCACACAGACAAGGCGGCTCCATTCTGGGAGCCAATGGCAAGAGACGTCACCATTGTTCTCATCAGAGTGATGACAGCTTATTCTTTAATAACACAGTGTCCTTCTACAGACAAAGTGCCCCCATCAATATTACTGCATCACTTCCTACTGGATTTTTTTCCTTATTAAAAACATCACCCAACAAACATAATGGGAAGGAAAGATATCATATCAAAAGACTTCTCTTACTCAAACTCTAATATAGATAATCAAGTCATTAATTGTGCCATAATCTTAAGGGTGGATCTTTTCAGAATGGATTTGCCATCACTTCCAAACAGCGCGAGCCCAGCATTAAGCAATCTAATCTATCACCTCACATCCAGTTTTTGACATCTGGTGGTTGACGGACTGTACTTAAAATCATAACTATGAGCTCTGGCTTTGTCATAATTTTTAAAACTGTGATCTCACATACAAGCAAAGATTGATTATATGTCTAGCTTGGGACTTACATCCTCTCTTCTGATGTGCACAGTCTACTCGGGGAGAAAAATGCAGAACGGAACGCAAGCTAACCTTTGGTTTCCATACTCCTGAACGCCTGCGCAGTAATTTCAGCGCACTCACATACTCTGCTTGTATCCTTCGAGCTGGCACGATCAAGTCTCCGTCGGATTTGGTGATAGCCACCAGATCTGCCATCTCCACTATTCCTCTTTTGATGCCCTCATGAGAAAAAGAGAGGAAAGTGACTTATCCCAAATATTTAATGCTAGAAAACAATGGGACACCAGTTCATGCTAGGGTTTTGAAAGTCAAATACTATAACTTTTTCTCTGCATCTTCTACTAGGAATCACAATTATTTGATGGATTTACTCAAAAGCATCAAGTCTCAGGATTATGAAAGTCATTTGTAATATCTCTTTCAAACATGGAGACTAACATGCTGGAATACATTCAGAATTAGAGTAAATGTATCATTCAGACACAATGTGATTGAATGACAGGAGACAGTTCACATGGTCTGATGATGGATTCCACTTCTCCCAGAGCTCACCCTTCAGGAAGCAAAATTATCATCGTTTAGGTGCTTCTAAAGAAGAAAACACCCTGTCACTAACATATGCATTTCCAGAAACAAAGTCTTTGAAGTTTCCCTTAAATAGATGCAGCATTTTTTTTTTCCTATTTGCATCTGAGGAAAAAATAACCTGATGGCTAAAAATGTCTCAATCTCTTGATTTAAATTACATTGCATGAACATACTAGAAAAATCCTAAGGCTAAACCTTATATGGAAAATGAATATTTTGCTATCTAAGATTAAAATTCCTTTTCAAGCATTTAAAAACATAACTTTCAATGATTAAATTCTACTAATGTTTCTAAACTGCAGCAACCAGAGTCTGATGTCACTAGTTTTTCAGAATTTTTCAACTGAAAGTGAGGTGCTGTATAATAGAGAACTTAGTGGAGGACAGAGGAGCCTGGTGGGTTCCAGTCCACGGGATCAAAAAGAGCAGGACATGACCTAGCAACTGAACAACAGCAGCAACAAGGTTCCTGGGAGGTAACCTCTAGAGCCTGCTCTCTCCTGAGTGACAGGAGGGACTCCATTATTCACAGTGAGTGCCCAGGATGGTACCTGCATTTATGCAAAGAGATCATTCGGAATGGGGGCTAACTGCACCAGAAAGTCAACCACATGATTAGGGGGCAGGGGCTTTGAGCCCCATGATAGCAGTCTGATGGCCTCTGGGGGTGGGGGTTGCAGATTGAGTTTCGTCATGTGGATGGCAATTTGGTCAATCACACGTCCATAATAAACCCCAACAAAAACGACGGGCCCTGAAGCGCAGAACTCCCTGGCTGGTGACACACACGAGTGTGCCAAGAGGCAAATGTGTCCTGAGGACAGAATCTTCGAGGCTGTGACCCTTCCAGACCTGTCTCTCTGTGTCTCTTCATCTGGCTGGTCTTGATTTGTCTCCTTTATAATAAAACTCTAACTGGTAACTGAGTGCTTCCCTGAGATCTGGGAATCCTTCTAGTGAACTACTGAACCCGAGGGGCAGTGCAAACCCCCACCTTCGCAGCCAGTCAGAGGCATGGGGAGCCTGGGAACCCTAGGCTTGCTGCTGCAGTCTGGAGAGAAGCCAGTCTTGTGAAGGCTGGGGCCCCCACTCTGTGAAGGCTGTGCTAACTCAGGGAGTCAGTTCCAGACATGCACTGCAGGCCATACACAAACTATATCAGTGGGATCCCAGTTTAACATCAACGGAATATCTCATGCGGAGTATTTCAACCGACTGTAGCACAACCAACCATGAACAGTAGTCTCTTGGCTGGAGCTACTGCTAAATGGGCACACTCGCGTGTTACAGGTAGAAAAGTCTAAGTTGCATGATTAGCTCAAGGTCATAAGTTCTACAACTGCAAGTAGGGAAAAAAAACATGGAGACTGTGCCTGACTTAGGTATTTTAGCCAAAGAGAATGATATTTCCTCCCCTACACTAGTATCAACTTAACTGACAAACCTCGCAACACTGGGACCCATACTTTCAGAGATGCATACTTTTGTGTTTTGGGGAGGGGGGTGAAAAAGTCAAAATAATTACCTGTAATTCATCTCCTCCTGCTGGTGGCAGGAGTAAAATGAACATGTCAACCATGTCGGCGACAGCAAACTCCGACTGTCCCACACCTGAAATTGTAAGTCACAACTGTCTACTAAAACACTCACAAAAATCTGACTTTCCCGACTGCCCTGACCATCACTTCCATCCCAGTTCATGAATCACTCAGCATCACACGCTCAACCTGATCCCACTTTCAACACCCACCTGTGAACAGTGTATTAAATGCTGCTGCCTCACCTGATGAGCAAAGCTGTTCTCCTCCCCACCTCGCTCCCGCCCCCATTCCCACCAGCTCAGTCTCTGAACAGGGAACGTGGAAACCTGCACTTTCTCCTCACTCACAATGCTCCTTCTCGGCTTCCCTTTTGTGGGTGAAGAGCGGGAGCACTTGATTCTAACCTTAGACCAGGCCTGTCAACACGGCAGCTTTCTTGCCTTCTCATCCTTCTACTAGCCCTGCAAATCCCACCGTGGATCAGTCCTACTGTCTGTGTCTCTCCCAGAGAAATCCCTCAACAGTGTGCAGAGGCGCCGCCAGAGGGTCACGGGCTCCAACACCAGCTACTTCTTCCTCGTGGTCCAGGAAAAGCGACGACCCTCGATGCCCTCAGGCAGCTTCCTTCCCATTTCCCAAACTGCAGTGCCCCGCTGGGGCCACATGCAATCACTGCTGAGTCTCACTGGAAGGTCCTTTAGCCCCTCTATACTTAACTCTAACTCTCCCTCTAAAACTGAGTCCATCTGTCAGCTCCTCCCCAAAGTCTTCCCCAATCCCCTAAATCTGACAGAGGCTGTGTCACAAACGCTGATCACACAGTAATACAACAGACTGTCTCTCCATAGGAATGCAAGGTTCTCAGTGTTTCCTTTTCAGTATATCCACTGTGTATAACTATGTCCTAGGGATATAAAGATAAAATAAAACATGATGTGCCCGAGTACATTAGTTTTCTTAATGAAAACATATTGTAGACATAGGACTGCTTTAAGAAAATGGGGTGTTATGTTTTTTGTTTGGTTGGTGGGGTTTTTTTTTTTGGCCATGCCACAAGGCTTGTGGGATCTTAGTTCCCTGTCCAGCGATTGAAACAGGGCCATGGACGTGAAAGTGCTGGGTCCTGGCCACTAGACCACCAGGGAATTCCCAAATTGGGTGTAAAGCAGCGTTTCCATAGGTCATCCTAATGCTGACAGTTCCCCTCTGGCACTGAAAACATACCACCTCGTGTCATCACTACCTGGACATAGGCTTATCCTTTTCTTTGCTGGACTGGATGAATCACAAGCTGGAATCAAGATAGCCGGGAGAAATGTCAATAACTTCAGACATGCAGATGACACCATGCTAGTGGCAGAAAGCGAAGGGGAACTAAAGAGCCTCTTAATGAGGGTGAAAGCAGAAAGTGAAAAAGTTGGCTTGAAACTCAACAATCAAAAAACTAAGACCATGGAATCTTGTTCCATCACTTCAGGTAAATAGGGGAAAAAGTGGAAGCAGTGACATTTTCTTGGGCTCCAAAATCACTGTGGATAGTTAACTGCAGCCATGTTATTAAAAGACGCTTGCTCCTTGAAAGGAAAGCTGTGACAAACCTAGACAAGTGTATTAAAAAGCAGAGACATCACTTTGCTGACAAAGGTCCGTATAGTCAAAGCTATGGTTTTTCCAGTAGTCATGTATGGATGTGAGAGTTGGACCATACAGAAGGCTGAGCGCCAAAGAATTGATGCTTTTGAACTGTGGTGCTGGAGGAGACTTTGAGAGTCCCTTGGACTCTAAGGAGATCAAACCAGTCAATCCTAAAGGACATAAACCCTGAATATTCATTGGAAGGACTGATGCTGAAGCTGAATCTCTAATACTTTAGCCCCCTGATGCGAAGAGCCGACTTATTGGAAAAGACCCTGATGCGGGGAAAGACTGAAGGCGGCAGAGGATGAGATGGTTAGATGGCATCACTGACTCAATGGACATGAGTTTGAGCAAAGTCTGGGAGAAGGGAAGAGAGGAGCCTGGCATGCTATAGTCCACGGGGTTGCAGAGAGCTGGACACAACTTAGTGACCGAACAACAACAACAAAGGATTATAGCCTACATGCTCTCATCTCCTACAAAATCTGAGATAGCTTTTATTTAATTATGTCTTTAGTAAGTATCTGCTGAATGAACAAAATGAAATTAGTCGTCACTCATCTCTACAGAACATCCATTATAATAGTACTTTATTTTCATGAAATAGAAAGCACACTCACCCACAGTTTCAACAAGAATGATGTCATATCCGCCTCCTTCGCACAGAAGAATAGCTTCATTTGTGGTCCTTGTCACACCTCCTAAAGTGCCTCTAGTAGGGGATGGCCTGATGTATGCATTCATATCTCTAGATAACTCAGTCATTCGGGTTTTATCACCCAACAGTGATCCTGAAACACACAGTTACATTTTACAATCACAGAACGCCTATAAGGGCCAATGATCAATCAGTCAATTCTTAGGGGAAATGCTTTAGGACATTTCTCCCCAAACCTCAAACTATATCTCATACTATTAAATTTTTTTTCCAAGTGTATTGTAATGATGCCAAATTAATCTGTTTAACATCTCCAACCCCTCAAATGGCTCACTGACTAGAGGTTCAAATCTAGACTCTCCAGCCCTGCACTGGAGACCCTGAGACTGCCGCCTAATTGCTTGTCCAGTTCAGCTTCTGCTAATCCCCAAACAAATCTTCCATTGCAGCTGGGCTGGTTTCTTTACTGACACCTTGACGATGTGTCTAGGTTTATCAGTATCTAGAGACACATGTACTTGTCACACCTGGGGGGTTGGGTGTTCCTGGGATTTGGCAGGTAGAGACCAAGGATATTGAAGATCCTTCAGTGTGCAGGACAACTGCCCACAACATAGAGTGTCATTAACAACTGCCCACAACACAGAGTGCCGTTTAAAGAGAAACTCTGCTCTAACCTGTGTTCATTGTCTGTAGGATCATGTCTTACATATTTTGTACACCTAATCCTTGTTCACGGTAGGCAATTAATGCAATACCTATGGAACAGAACCGGTGCTGTTTCAGGGCTTACTGCAGTTATTTTGGCAAACATTAGTACCTGCAAATTAGAAGACTGAAAGCTCTAGAACTAGTGAGATTACCTTGTATCTTCTTTTTGTTAGTCACATAGTAATATTTCCCAAGTTTGATCCCTGGGTCAGGAAAATCCCCTGGCAAAGATAATGGCAACCGACTCTAGTATCCTGGCCTGGAGAATTCCATGGACAGAGGACCCTGGCGGGCTCCCGTCCATGGGGTCACAAAGAGTTGGACACAACTGAGCGACTAAGCACATAACAACATTTGAAGGGCGTGGGTGCTATGCTAACCTGAATCTTAATTTCAGCTTAAGAGCTGACTTTTCCAAGGCAGATGCTAAACACTGAGGATTTCCTTAGAGAGATGATCTTTTCCCTAATGAGTCCAATTTCAAATTCTCATAGGTTCTAATTCTAGAGCATATACCTACGACAGAGCTCAACTACCATATTTACTGTACATAAAATGTTGTTCTAAAGTAATTTTCTGGGTGAAATCATCTCTGTGTAAGTCAACAATCTGCCAAAGCTATATTTTAAATTATTATCCTATAGATTCCCTACACGCCAAACCAAACATTTATGAAATCACTGTCCCATATATCTGTCTGTCAGTAAATCCAAACAGGCCCTTAGGAAGGTCTCCAAACTCCCACTGCAGGGGGCCTGTGAATCTAAAACACAATAAGGATTGACAACAGGCTTCTCAAATGTCAATGGAGTGCTATTTTCAATGTTTATGTATTGTTGCAATGATAAGGTAAGACTGGAGTGTCCTGTTTATGTAATTTTTTCTTTCAAAGTCTATGTATTTTCACCTGAAAAAGAGATCATTTTTGGTTTGAGAAAAGTCAAGAACCACATAGCTATGCAGCTTTAATTAGACTATCTTTTTTTAAAAAAGACATCTATTTTAAAATTTTTATTTATTTATTTTTTTGGTTGCACTATGAAGCATTTGAGATCTTAGCTCCCCAACCAGGGATTGAACCCATGCCCCTGGAAATGAAAGTGCAGAGTCTTCACCACTGGACCACCAGGGAAGTCCCAATCAGATTATCTTATGTCACCATTTCTGCTACTTTCATCTCAAGCTACTGTTTGCTTTTGCTATTCCAAGTACGGTAGAGTATTTATGAAGGTGAGGAGAAAAGCCTTAGCACCTATATGGAAATAAAGGCCACTGTAAATAAATTCTTTACACCTTAGTACTTTACACCTGCTGGTACTTACCTTTAACAAAGTTCTTAGACTATAAAGAGAGATAACGCACTGACATGGATTTAATCTTGAACTTTGCAAGTATAAATTTTATTTTATGGCTAACCTTTTCATTATAGTGAATCAAAAACTGTGAATGTTATCAGCTAAATTTCTCAATGGGTGGTAATAGGAATTGCTATCCACCTCTCTGCTGATCTAAAGCCCTAAAATATGATGATGATATCTTTATTTTTTTAGCATTAAATCCACAGGATATAAAACTCTTCCACAAAGCACGCTGAATTTCTCCCTTCAAAACACATATTACCCTGTAATGGCCTGTGTGCACCTATTTTCCTCACAAGATATAAAGTTCCACAAGGCCAAGACGACTGTGTCTTATTCACCATTAAACAACACAGCACCTTCTTTGCCCAGGGTCTCAACTGTACGTGCTAAAATACTTGTTAAATGAGTAACTGCCACATGAGATGCTTAAATCATAAAGAGAAGGGAAGAAAAAGCTTTCCTGAGTATTTATATAGCATGCTTTATGTTTCCCTTAAATGATCCTTTTGGGAACTAAGTTTATCCATTTTATCTCTGATGAGCTGCAAATTAAGCTTTGAGTGACTGCATGACCTCAAATCAGTAAGTAATCGCAGAGCACCATGTGCAACGCACTAGGCTAAGTGCCGTGGGGAACCACAGTATATCACACAGTCCTTCTAAGAGCTTTCTGTGTAACTGAACTAGTAGTAGAAAGGTGACAGGTTAGATAGAGCATGAAGAGTTTTTTCTTTAAGCTTAAGAGAAGTTACAATATGAGGAAATTAGTGAGTAGGGGTTGATGCAGGCAGAAAAGACAACAGGAGGGAAAAGGGGCCGAGCCCCAGGTGTGACAGACAAAGCACT